CCAACTCTACGACCCTGCAGTGTGGAGTGCCACAGGGGTCTGTGCTGGGGGCCCTGTCCTCTTAACACTGTATGTGACTAGTCCTGCCAACATCATCCATCATTTCAATCTTCTTCACCATGGCTATGCTGACGACACGCAGATGACAGTAAAATAACTAGATTATCACAGATTCGAATTTAAAACGAGTAATTAAATCTAAAACAGTTTAACTATAGATGACAATACAGGTAAAAACAGGCTATATATTGCCAACAACTGAAGGTAGATCCATTTACTACAGATAGTAGGGAGATATTCGTTTTGCATAAGCTTATCATATATCTTCCGAGATGCATTTGAAGGTTTGATCCATTCCATAAGAAAGTTTTTAATTCTAAGATCATAGATACATATAGGTTTAGAATTGTCTATCACAATTTTCCATTCATTATGGGGGTTATTAACATCTCGATAATGGTCTAAGTATGTACCCTTCAAATTGATTTTGTTTCAAGTCTACAAGGGATAAGAGCCTTTTCTCATAGCATAGGTCTCTCACGTAATGCACTCCTTTACAGAGCCAATCTTCTCTAATAAAATTTGAGTCTGTACACTGGTGGTTAAACCATATCGGTTCAGCCAGAATAGCCTGAATACCTCTTGCATCAGTTAAATGAGACCTAAATTCAAGTATTTACTCCAAATGTATATCAGATCCTTCCAGTAGGGGTTATTAGTTTTACAAAGTCTGTAAGACCTTACATGAGCACCCAATTGAAAAAGAAGTTTTAAAAGAAAGTAGCTATTGTATAGATTCTTAAACATGCTTTTTTTGAGGATACTAAGCTTTAGCGATTATATGAACACATTTATATCTACCATTCTCAATCCACCATTTTCAAAGCTTCTCCCGTTTAATTTTGTCAAGTTTCGAAATCCAAATAAACTTAAAGAAAGTTGAATCTAGTTCATCAACAATTTCTTGAGGCGGTTGAGGCAATGCAGAGAATAATGTGTACAAGTGTAGAAAATGCTAAAGTTTTTATCACCGTTATTTTTCCAACTCATAGCAACGTACGTTTACGCCAATTTGCTAGTAATCTCTTGATATTTTCTAGTCTTTTTTTGGTGTTGATAACCCATAGTCGTTCTAAATTTGCGTTTAATTGAATGCCAAGAACTTCAAAGTGAGCACGAAACCAATCTAAATTAACATCTTCGCACACTTTAATATTCTTTCCAATCATTGACCCAAGGCATATTGCCTTAGTTTTATCTGAATTCATTCTTAATCCTGAATAGGAGTAAAACTTTCCAAAGTATTCAGTGCAGCTCTTAGGCTTTCTTCTGAGCCATCCAAAAAGCTGTGTATCGTCGGCATACTGCCCTAATTTATGCTCTGTATATTTCAAATAAATGCATTGTCTCTACTCATAGTGGCCAGTATTTCTGCAACAAAAAGGAATAAATATGGGGAGATTGGGTTCCCCTGTCTACAGCTTCTACCATTGTATGACGCAAGAGGTTGCATTGCGTATCAAAATGTGTATACTTCTCACTCCATTTTAGCTTGATACGAGTATAATAATTTACACCGAAAAGTCGGTCTATGCAATAAACACGTCGTTGTCATCTATAAAGGTTCATGGTTCATGGTGTTTTTAGCGGTTCATCCATATTGTGATATTCACATAGAGAGAAATAAAGACTTTGTTAAACAGAAGTGAGAAAATTGGAATTAAGCATGTTTAGGATTACACTTCCTCAGTAAAGTTCATATACTTGTACTGTTTTTAGATGAGATAGGGGATACGAAATTGTATTGAGAGTAATCGTCAGGCCATTAGTTTTTTTTCTGAATGGTACTTTGAAAGTTGGGTTATCACCGTGATTACGTCTTGCAGTTATTTTGCATATTCTGTAAAGTTGAACTCCCTTTATCATCAGTCACTCATTAGTCACAGACATCAAAACACTTTACTATACGTCACTTTACTTTAATATAATTTTAAAGTATATCTTACTATAAAAAAACCCACTGATATATCCTTCTGGTTCTACACTTCAAGGTATTAACAGCAGTCAGAGCAGATTTGTAATCTTACTGTGTCGTTATTCTGCTTGATAAAGGTGCAGCTTAACGCTGATATCGCCTCTCACATGGTCTATTTACACACTGATTATTCCCGGACGTGCACACGTTGCCAGGCTGCCTTTGAAATGCTGAAGTCTGTTGCACTATCGATAATGTCTTGTTGCATGATATATACTACCTTGAATTTACCACTTGTGATTTAATGTGACGTTCTTATCATCTTTCGGTACGTTAGGGTAGGATATATAAGGATTGGCTCAGGATTGGCGACGTGGTGCGGGGCGAGATTTGAGGTTACAGCTAATATTAAGTTCATGTTCTTAAAGGGACACAACTTCTCTAACATCGCCGAGCATGTAACACTGTTGGTATCTGTTTCGTATCAATATCTTTACAAAACGTTTTCGTTGTGAGATGTTTTAAATCTCGTTAAATCCCTTATCTTACTGTGCACAGCAGTGAAACACTTGTCATGGAATTTAATTTGTACATTATTTACATTCTGTTTTCTTTTATCTGAATACCCGTGAAGGTCCGGGTTAGAATATTGATCTTCAGTAAGCCATGCTTGTCGTAAGAGGCGACTAATGGTATCGGGTGGTCAGGCTCGCTGACTTGGTTGACACATGTCATCGTTTCCCAGTTGCGCAGATCGATTTTCATCACTGGAATGTCACGCCCAGACTCCATTATTTACAGACCGCCGCCATATAGCTGGAATATTGCTGAGTGCGGCGTAAAACTAAACTGTCTGAAATCCACACCTTTTTTTTGGAACAAAATAAAACGGAATCATCAGAAAAAAATAATGCAAACCTTTAGTTACCTCAGTCTGTAAGTTTCGGATTGTTATCATTGTACAGAGTGAGTGAGTGCATTCTGAGAGTAGGTAACTGCAAGATCAAAATGCAAGTGTAAAATAAGTCAGATTTTACATTATCAGCAGCCATTTTGAAAATGAGACTCGAATAAGGTTAGGTTACTTGGGAACAACAGTGAAGTGTCAGCAGTATAGTTCTGAGAACGTATAGAATGTAAGTAGCACAAATACAAATTATTGCTACCATGACCAAGACTATTTCCATAACCACAAGAAATATCTTTACGATACCGACTGTATCATGAAAATGTGCTTATAAATCGTTTTCAAAGAGTGATGACACCCGGTGTTGATGAGCCTAACCTGTCTCAGCCTTCACAAACCATGGAAAGGCAAGTTAGTTATTCAATTCTGATTAAATGAATGCGCTTTTGAATGACAATTGAACATGATATGTTTGTATGTGTCTTTTGGGGTGGCAGAAAGGTTGTTTATTTTCCATTGCCATTGTAAAATCTACCTTCATCACAAACTTTCATTATGGTTGTGGTGAGTTTTATTATTAGCGCCTGAATAATTAACTTATGAGAGAGAGAGATAGGGAGAGAGAGAGAGACAGAGATAGAATGAGAGAGAGAAACATACTCATGCAGAGATAGAGAGGTAGACAGAGATACATAGTGAGAGAGGCAGGGATAGACAAACATAGAGAGACAGAAAGACAAAGAGAGACTGTTACATATTAAGGCAACTGTCATGGTGACAAATCTTATAGTTCTTAATTGTTTTCTGTTTAAGGGCTGAACATTGAGTATAAAACCCATACGTTTTGTGTATAGCGACGCAAATGTACGCCTCTGAAATAGTGTATTCGTACAAGAGACCCGTACCTGTATTTCACAAGGGGAGATTCGCTAACTTCAGCTAATTATTTCTTTTCTTTTTCTTTTTTTTGGAACTAGTATGTTTGTCAACCTTGTAAGATCCATCTTACAATGATCACATTTTTACTCTTTTGTATGTGTGGTAAACACTATTAGAGGCTTTTCAATGATCTCTTTGGTTCGTGTCGTTTGTGAGTATTGTATCTTGAAAAACACCAAGATGCACTCAGTCCCTCCGAAGAAAAGGACTGAAGGGTATGAGGACAGTTATACATATCCTGAAATCAATAAATATGGAGGTTACAGGATGTACCCAGTAGTTGTAAAGACAACTTACACAGATGAATTTAACTTGAAGCGACAGGATGTACTCGAAAGTTGCAGTATTCGATGACATGCTTTAAGTGATTCGTAATAATACACATGGACAAAAGTATCGCAACACATAAGATTTTTAAGCTCCATATAGCCATACATTTGTATCACAATCACGTTTGTTATGTTAGTTATTTTTACCCTTGGGTGTACCATACATTGATTTTAGACGTGCACTTCCTACGACTAAAGGCGAGCATAATGTGCAATACGAGTACACGTCATTAAGCAAGCATCAAGTTTCAGCAAACTGTTCTTATAGCTCGATAACTTGGAAAAATCAAATGATTTCGTTGTTGTCCCCGTCAAATGACAACAGTTAAAAGATGACAAGTTGTTGGTATGCGGATTGCTAATGATTGCAATGAGGAGAGATAACCTTCCTTAAGTAAAGCATCATTTTCAATTTATACTTTCTCGTGCAATCTCCCAGAGGTACATTTGGCACTCACGCGCACACTGATTCTATTCAAAAATCACGTTATTCGAACAGATGAAATTATTTTTATGACCTTTTAGATTTTGACATCGATTCAGTATTACTAATGAACGTTATCTACCTAATCTAAATTCCACAATTATTTCTTTTCAGCGGACGTTCGTCTTTGGTTCCACAACATTCATCAGCTGGGCTGTGACTTCGTTCCTTTGCCACCAGTCTACCTATCTCTTCTTGGGAACATCCGCCAACGTCCAAGATAATGGGCTTTTATGGGCGTTTATCATTACACTATGTCAGGTTACCATGTGCTGTCTACTCACCGACCTACGTCTCTCGCACCCACGTTCCACAGAGGCCAAAAAGATATTATGGGTGAAGGTTTCCTGTCACGCGTTGGCTACCATGGCAACAAACTACAGCATGACGATGGTACATGCATCGTCAACATTCGCCATAAAGCTCCTGGAACCAGTAACCAGTGCCATTATTCAGCGTTTGGCTTTAGGAACATCTGTACCACCCCCCGCCTATATTACTCTTCCTATCATCTTAGGAGGTGCTGTTGGTTTCTGTGGAAATTCCTTTAACACGCCTTTGACAGCTGTTGGTATTGCCGTGGCCTTCATGTCCAACCTAATCCTGGCCTTCAGAAACGTGGTTATCAAACTGGAACAGAAGGACAGTTCCACTTCAAACACCCAGCTGAGACCAAAGAGATTTGTCTTCAGCATTGCAGGTGTTTGTGTTGCTCTGGCTGTTGGCACTAACTACCTTACTTCACAAAAACTTCTGTCATCCTTGTTCTTATTCCTGGTTAACACAGGACTGTGCTCCAGCGTCTTCCACGTCATCTACTCCTACATCTCCACCAACGTCGTGCTCCTCTACATGTCTGTAGTCAGTCAAACATCTTTAAGAGGGTCCTCGTTGTGCTGATGCTTTACTCAGTAGGACAAAGGCAGGCAACGCTTGCCAACTTCATCGGACTTGGCATCTGTACCTTTGGTTTAACTATCTATGTCTTGGCCAAAAAAGGAAACGCCTTCTCCTCCATCATCAGTCTACCAGCGAGTATTTCCCTATTTATACTGAACAGCAAAAGAAACGCAAGTCTGGCTTTTTGTCAAGTTTTTTAATAGAAGACAACCAAAATTATGTCTAATCATTTATTCTATAGAAAACACTGTCAATTTAACAGCTAAAAGTTGCTGTTGACATTGAATTGCAATAAGTTCAAATTGATTACAGTCCGTCAAATGGAGATACCACTGAACGCGAAAAGTGACAGTATGTTTAGTAGCGCGTATAGACACCTTGAGCTTGCTCACAGGCCATGCAACGTGGCCTCATTGAGTTCACTAGAGTCTGAAAGAATGCCTTAGGCAACTGGTTCCCCTCAAACACCAATCTCTATTCCAACTGTGCAAGTGTGAGTGTTCGTCTACCTGCAGCTATCCTCCGTCCAATTTCGTCCCAGAATATTCAACGGGAGCCATATCCAGGGAAAAAGACGTAAATGTTGTTCTGAGCCAGGTAATCTATCGACATCCTTGCTGTGTGAGGGCTGCAAACGTCGCTGGCGTTGTTGACGTGCCAAAATTGGCCCCACATATGGCCTTCGGCAGTGGATTCCAGCAGCCCAAAGACGACGCCTAATCGTATCGCTTGGCACTGCTCCCCTTCACCCAAGAACTAAGGCTGTTGTTACTGTTGCTGCTTGAGTTCGATTCCTTAGATGAGTGACCCGGATGAACCGATTTTGCGTATGAGTTGCCACATCAGTAGCAACCCGCTTTGCTGATAACGTTGAGCAAGTCGTGTAATGGTGGTAAGATGACAACCCAATTGTCTAGCTACAACGGTTGCAGAGCTACCTCCGTGTAACTTTCCAATGGCCATTCCCTCTGCTCAGTTGTTAGTCTACGCATCGTGTGTGTGGCGTGTACACCTACTAGCATCAATACTGAACTGTTTTTCGACACAAACCTTTATAAAGGATACCTCAGAGTGAAATGCATGCTTTTCATCCTTAACCGTCGATGCACGTGCTAAAATTATGGTTTGGCTGCACTGTTGGTGTGTTTGCGTGAATGGTTCGTATGGATGTCAAACTGCATGACATCATCTCATCTGGGATCATTACGTCACTTTACCATGGACGTTCCATAAACATGAACGCTTACCTTCATGGGATTTCAGTTTTTCGAAACTTGCGTTTCTTTTGCTGTTCAGTATAGTAACATGAGTGTAAATTATTTTATCAATGAATATGAAAATATCTCTGACATGGATTGCAAAACTGGAAGCATTATTGAATACATGTTGACAATATATTAACTGGGGTTGTTGACATCTACTAGCATTTGCTTGTATTATTGATATGGAAAATTTTGGGCAAGTATTCGATTTCTATGACACATCTGCTTCTTCTGTGTGAGTCAGAAACGAACTATTCGCTGTGGTCAAACATAATTGTTCTTCTTTCTTATTGCTTTTCAGAATTCGTTGGAAGACGTTTATTGGAACTTTCCTTTCTCTGTTTCTGTGCTATCATTGTGAGTCCCTTCGTCGGCAGAAACAACAGCAACATCCATGATGTATATCGATATTTCATACCAGGGAGTATTTCCAAATGCAGTGAGTTCTTCGGGAAATCATTTGAAGGAAATGCATTTTCGAAGTATATCCCGGACTTTTCCACAAACACGCCCAGGGTAGGAGAAATTCTCCAAAGAAAACTAATCCTGACTCCAGAAGAAACGGATGCACTTTCTCCAAATCTGACATCGTCCATTGCCGTCATAAGGGAGGCGCAGAGAATTCATTTCAACTTGTTTTCTGATTTACTATCTCCTTACAAATATGCAATACTATTGGACATTGCTGCTTTTGAAAACAAAGGTGACCCTGCTATAACAACGGGCGAGGTGTATCTTTTGAGACGCCTGGGTATACAACTTCTGTATTACTGTAACTTTTATGCTTGTACCAACAAGAATCTTGACTATGCCAAGAACCAGACTTCTGGCCATTCCCGCAATGACATTGTTGTGTTAATTCACGGAGGTGGGAACCTCGTGGGGTATTTTCAAAGTGATAAACTACGCGAACGAATATTCCAAAGGTTTTCAAACTTTAAGATGGTGTTGTTTCCTCAGAGCATATTTCTGAGGAAACATTCCGAAAAACATCTTGAATTTTGTAAGAAATTGTACTCAAATCAAGGGAACTTCACCATGATACTTAGAGACAGGCAATCTTTGGGATACGCAAAAACTTACTTCAAAGGTAAACCCACACTAATGATGGCTCCAGATATGGCCTTTCAGATTGGCGCTGTTCCAAGATTTATATCCCCTTCTTTTGATATTTTGTGGTTGAAGCGTTCAGATGATGAGACTTCTGGATATAAATTGCCAAAACGTCCGTCAGGGATTACAGTACACTGTTCAGACTGGACGGCTTGGAAAACACCAAAAGGAAATACAACAATGGAAACTGCTTTCCTGATGGCCAATAATGGTTTGATATTTCTCCAGCGAGGTCGTGTTGTCATTACAGACAGATTACATGGACATATTCTCTGCACTTTACTGGACATTCCTCACGTGTTGATTGACAACTAAAACCGGAAGTTATCTTCATATCACAACACCTGGACAAGTGGTCTGGCGAACACGGTGATTGCTGACAACGCCTCACACGCCCTGGACCTAGCTGTGGAATTGTTGCAGAAATATGGTGACGTCCTGCCTCCTATTGCTCCATACATGGATGTGGCAGAGAAGAGCACATCCCCCTCATAGGTCATCCTGTGACATCACAAAATTTTGTGACTTTCTTCTATAAGAATTTACTGAGATAGTGCTATCTTAAACAAATGTCATAAATGTGCATGGGAATTGCATAGTGTGGCTACGAGTGACTCGTAGAAAGTAGTTAGCCATGGACAGGCTTTCCCATCTTCCTATTCAAACTAATTTTTCCAGTTTTTGGTTAAACGGAAGCCCTGCAGCTCAGGAGTTAAGGGCCGAAGAGTTGTTTAAGTGTCTTATTTTATTTTTCTCTTACATCTAGCTCGTTCTTTCTATCAAGGGGTGGTGGCGTAGCCTAGTGGTTAAAGCGTTCACTCATCACGCCGAAAACCCGAGTTCGATTCCCTACATGGGTACAATGTTTGAAGCCCATTTCCGATGTCCAGTGTCGTGATATTGCTTGAAAATTGCTAAAAGTGGCGTAAAGCTAAACTCACTCACTCCTTTCTATCAAATAACCCATTTGTGGTGGTAGGTCTCGTTGTTGTTATCGCTTTTGTTGAATTAAGAGTGGGTGTTCTGGTGAATTTCACCTGCACCTAAAGTAGGAATCCATCACTTTTGCACACTTCTTATTTTAGAAAATTATCAGCATTCTCTGAGAGAAATGAACATGATTTAGGAGAATGTGTACACTTTTGAACAATGGATTCTGATTCTCGTCAGTCTGACCAAGAAAATATTCCAAGATATCAAAATGCGCAGTTTTGTTTTGTAAATATTCAAACCAAAACAAATTGTTTTGGGCTCCGTATACATCCCTTGTTTATGTCTGCATGTTCATGTATAGAAAGATTTTACCACTACTTCATTCAGTTTGTCCCTCGAATCACCGATTTTAATATCTCTGAAATGTGTGTGTCAGGAAGAGTGTACAGACAAACTATATCCAGTATCGCCTGTTCTATTTGAGTGATCACACATAAATGAGTTCATATCATATTGTAGAAATACATAGTTCTTCTTGCTATGTGAGTAAATCATACAAGCGGAGAAAAAGTGACTGAAACCGAAGGAACAATTGGTATTTTCAAGGATAATCCTCATGTGCGTTACATCTATACAACTGCACCTGACGCGTGAGTCTCAAACCTAAATGTTGTCTCCAAATACATTTTAAAAGTTTGGATAATTGTTTTAAAATGTTGCTTTTTCTCCGCACACAGAAAATATAAAGATAGGCAGACAGCGTCTTTATGCATAAATAAAGGTGTGAACATAGCAAGTATTGGAGACAATCAAACGCTCATGCAGGCGCCAGGCGACGTGACGTCATTGATGGTGGCCTATGGACTTGCAATGTGTTACTGCACGTGCAGCCTGTGCAGCTGCACACAACATGTGAAACTCAGAAATTGATGTCACTGTCGAAAGCTTGATCTTTGGTCATTCAAACGTTCACAAATTCACATGAAAAGTCACATGCACATCATGCCAAGATTAACATGTGCTCCACGTCATGAAGCCATTGGAATGGTTCGAGCAGGCATGAGCCAACAACAGGTGGCAGCACATGTCCAATGCCATCGTAACACGATATTTGCATTGGTCAGGCGTTAGGGAAACAGTAATGACGTCGCCGACCACCCACGTTCTGGGCGTCCCCGAGTAACGACGCCAAGACAGGACAGATGGATTCGGGTGACTCATATCAGACACAGGTTCCAGACGGCAGTCACCACGTCCATAACCATTCCCCAGGCCTTCATTTGGAAAATTTGGTAGCCTCTATGCGTCGTCGATGCACTGCTGTGCTTCACGCGCATGATGGTCATACCCGTTATTGACTTTGTGACTTCGACGTGTGACCCCCTACTCGATTTTGAACTTCTGACATCATCGTTTCGGATATTGTTCATGTTCTTTTGACATGTTGTTAAGGCCCGATACTTCAGCTTATAAAGTATCTACATCATGTCGTCTTTTCTGTGTTGTATTCCAATTCTGAAGGAATTTTCTGTGTGCACAGTTTCTTTATGTGGCTAGTATATAAAACCTTTAACTATAAATGACAATACAATATACAAACAGGCTATAGATTGCCAACGGCTGAAGGTAGATCACCATACTAGGGGACCATGGGGACTTACAGTACATTTGCTGCCTGCATGGACCCTAGTT